AACAGCCACTGTCACACAAGCAGGAGTAGTGCAGGCCTTGGGTTACAGAGTACAAATGGCTCCTTGGGCCTAGAACCCTGAGGGGGACCCAGCTTTGTGAAGGGCCCTTTAAAACTTCCTTTGAAAGATGTATAAAGTATCACCCAAGACATTTTAACAGGTTTCCTTTGCTCATTGAACAAAATGAATTGATATTCATCATGACACATTTTCTTAGACAAGGACTTAAAGGTAAGTATGTACAAATTATAGAAGAAAAATGTTATTATCCATCTTCTAGAATAAGGCCAGAAATTAATAGGTAAAAGAGTAGAGTGAGAAAATGGTTAAAAAAAAATTACCACCCAAAATATAAATATCTAAATGAATTATATCTCACTAATCACAAGATACCTAACTCCTAAAAATTAGAGAAAGGCAAAATGAAATGGTATTATGACTTTACCTATTAAACTGACGAAATGAGAAGGATTTCCCAGAACTGCTTCCATCGTATGCTATAGGGGAGCTTAGAAGTTGCACACTTTAGGGAGGGCGGTTTGGTAATTTCTGTTATAATTTTATATGTGTGCGTGGAGACAGAGGTCCGCTTTTAGGAGTTGCCCTGAACAAACACTGGGGAGACACACAAAGATTATACATCCCCAACATGCAGAATTGTGTCACAGCAACAAATCAGGAGCAGCCTACATGTAATCTTGGTCTGTCCAAAATGTGGAAATCCAAGAGGCCAATGCACAGAAAGAAGAAGTACACTTGACATAAAAACACTCCAGGATCAAATGAGAAAGGTCACAGAGTGTTGCATCTGGGGTTTTTTGTTTTTTAAGTATGTAACATTGCTGTATTGGGATGTGTCCTAAAATCGATGGCTCCTCACAATTATAATTAGTGTTGTTTTTTCCTTCTCTCATGGCTCGTAAAATAACAGTACTTCTTAAAATTCAGGAAATCCCAGAGGAAATGAGAGTCCTAAGTTCATTCGCTTTCCAAGCCTGCGTATGTGTGAATGAGACTTTACCGGAGAAACATCGGGAAAGACCTACTAGATTTTAACTGTTTCAGTCAGAGGAGGGAAAGGGCTGGCTCAGCGTACTTACTCTTCATTTTTGTGCTACTTGGAACTTCTCTCAACAGGCCTCTATCCTAAATCTCTTGTATGGAATGAAACCAGGAAAATGTACCAGAGGGAGGAGATGTGGCTGCTACTTACAGCTGGGTCCTCCAGGGGCCACCTCAGCTCTGCCCCAGAGCACAGATACTCACTGTGTCCCACTTCCTTTCTTTCCCTCCTCTCTTCCTCCTTTACCCCAACTGTGCCTCCCTCAAAGCCCCCAGAGATGGAGCATGCCTGCATTAGATGGTGGGGTCCATTGCCACTCCCCCACAGAGTTTTTTCAGGTCTGGTTGAGGGTCTTTTCCTGCCTGACTGATGCCCCACTCCGAACGGGTACCTCTGACACAGCAGATGTCCTTCCTGGAGGCAGGTGGTAGGAGCACTAGTTTTGGGTCCCACCTCATACTCAAGCCAAAGATGTTCCATTTTCAGAACTAGATTCTATGTAGACACACGTGAACAACCTGCCAGCGAGTGTGTGTGTGAAATTTGCAAGCAGACACATACACCTCTTTGTGCATCAGAAGCCTGCTCCAGGTTGACTGCTCAGCCCCCAGAAGCTCCCTCTGCCTCCCTACCCTCTGCCCACCCATCCCGAGCCATGTGAGCATGGGATGAAAACAGACATGTCCTCTCCGACACATCCCTAGGTGGAGTACAGCCAGGACCCAGGGGACACCACCCAGCATGCAGAGTCCCACCGTCTTTCAAAATTGCATTTAAATTGGATTACTTTGATATTTAAAAACTAGAAAAGTTTTACATAAAAATGTGAGTTCCTTCTTGGGAATGTTGGAGGAAAGAGCAGTACAGGCTGTCGTCTTATGCCATAGGACCCCGTGGGCTGGGACACCATCCTGCGGGGGCTCTCCGTTCCATGTTTTCACCAGCCTGTTGTCTTGGATGCTCCTGCTGCTGACAAATGGCAGAAACTAGAGTGGGGAACAATTGTCCTTGTCACTTTTGCCTACGTGCACTGCTTCTCTAGGGCTTGGGTCCTTCAACCCATCCTCCTACAGAAGCTTCCATGTCTGTCTGTTGCTGCAACCTGTACTCCAGGAGGCATGGGTACAAGCCTGACAGGCCCTGGGGTGGGCCATTGTGGCTCAAGTACGCCCCTCTCTCCAACGAGCAGACCCCCTGAGGCAGCCAGGATAGTTACCACTCATGCAGAAGCAGAGTAGAGTCTGACCTCTAGGCAATGCAGAAGTGAGGAGTTTCACCATGGTGGTGTTCCAGGAGAAGGCAGTGAGTGCTCTCAGAAGGGAGAAGGGGGACTGCCCACACACTTCCTGGTGGCCTTTGGCCATGAAGCAATGGAGTCAGGGGAACTTGGAAGAGCCAGGCCCTCTGTGGGGCTGGCTTAGTGCTGCCTCTTGGTAACAGGCAGCTCTGCATCAGCTGGGCTGACAGGGGAGGATGGGGTTCTCTTAAGCACAGGTATGGGAGTCTCAGGTCAGGCCCCTTCTGTGGGAGGCTCTGAGGGCAGTGGACAGGCTGGGTTGGAGGGAGGGACCAGGGCAGACACTCCCAGCCACTCAGCCTTGTGCACCTGATCTTGTACATGGTCAAAACCAGCTCCTCCTAGGCCAGGATCACGGCACCAGCCTATGGCTCACAGCCTTCAGAATACACGTGCGGATGGGAGGGAGTGGGAAGATGACAGGGCTGTAGAGCACCCAAGATGCCCTGGGCATCCTCGAGGGTCTAGGCTGGCTCTTCGGAGGAAGTACATGGAGCCCTCACTGGGCTTGGGGTGTTTCTGGAACTCAAAGAATTGGGCCTCGAGGGGCATCCAGGGGAAGGCCTTCTCTCTCTTAGCAGAGTGTGGCCTGTGACTCCAAGCACACAGAGCCCCTCTGAATCTACAGGAGAGGGACTGAGCAGGCTTTCTGCATTCCTGCATCGTGGAGACTTTGTGGAGAGGAAGGGCCCAGCATAGCAGACCAGCAGCAGCAAGTAGGGTCAAGGTCACCAGTCCCTGTTTGAATTTGGGCACATGTGACAGGGACAGTCCTGGGCCCCCACTCCATGCCGGGTCCAGGGGAAGATCAACCTGGCAGGTATGCAGGATGAAGAGCAAGAGCAGGTGGTACTACAGCAGGCTTCCCACATGCCTCTGACATAGGACCTGATGAAATAAGGAGCTCAAGACCCTGGAAGGTCATGTCATGACATACTTTTCCCTCAAGGCCTGTGCCCAGCTCCATGGCCAGGCTGCTTCCCTCTGTCTCGAACTCCTGCCCCAGCCAAAGGCCCCAGGAGCAGCCAATGAGGCCCCACAGCCACCCTAGGATACAGTAGCAGTACCTGCACCTGTGCCTTACTGGGAGCTGTAGAGTCACGGGTGCTCAGTGAAAGATGCAACCAGCTAGCAAGAGCACTGAGAAACTTGCCTATGTGTGCCTTCTCCAGGGACCTCGGACAAGACACATCACACATTCCTCTTCCCAGTGTCCACAGCAACAGCACAAATGGCTCATTTGTTAAGTCCCAGGTCAGGGGGGTTGCCGCACACCAGGATAGTGGAGCTACTTTGGGAACTATGAGTGGGGCTCTGGGGTCCAGGAAGGTCTGATGGAGGGGGCTGCTTTGCACACTGGAATGTGCAGTGTGGAGTGGGAATGCTTGCTCCCTGCACGGGGTCCTGACGGGCCCTCTCTCCCACCCATCCGCAGGCCCCCCAGCCCCCGGCGCCTCCCAGCCACGGCTCACCTGGCTGCTGCTGCCCTTGCTGCTCTGCCTCCTCTTGCTCCTCCTCGCCGCCTACTTCTTCAGGTAGGAGTGTCCCCAGGCGTTGACTTGCCCCAACCCGCTCAGATGAGGAAATGGAGCCTGCTGGAGGCTGTGGGGCGTGGGCCCATGAGGCCCAGATGTGCAGTTAGTCGGCCAGGCCCCAGCACAGCTCAGCTATGAGCAGCAGAAAGAGCTTCTCCCGGCTCACCTGGTGGGTACCACTGCACGAGGGCTTGGGGCTCCCCGGAAGTCTGGGTGTGCTGAGACCTAATGCATCTTGTGCCTCTCAGGTTCAGGAAGCAGAGGAAAGCCGTGGTCAGCAGCAACGACAAGAAAATGCCCAACGGGATCTTAGAAGAGCAAGGTACAGGCACTGGCTCCTCGGGCTGAGTGACTCTCAACAGACATTGCGTTTCTTTCTTTCCTTAGCATTTAAAGCAAATGTTAAATGTTAAATTCCTCCAGCCTTGTGACTTTCATCTCACTCTTCCTCGTGTGCTGCGGCCTTTTGAAAATAACCGTAGAGTTTCTGTATTTCAAAACTTTACTTTGGAGACCATTTTTCCCTCCATTGTGAGACGGATGTTGACATGTTTCAGTTTGTGGTTTTTTGGAGAGACTGTTCATATCCTGTCCTGTTCTTTTCTCAGGGTTTTGACATACAATGTTTTTCAGTGAGGCCTTTAAAATCATTCTGTGATCAGACCCTCTGACCACATCTGTGTGTGGGGACAGCGCAGTAAGGGGGCGTTTCCAACTGTGCGATTCCAGCGTGTACAAGCACGTCTCCACACTAAGGTGATGGAGGAGGTGATTAAAGCACACCGGCTCCCACCGGTGACTGAGCTTCCTGCCATCCAGTTTCTAACGCTCCTATAGCTTGAGGTCACACATATGCAGTCAGACGTCAAATGGACTCTGTTTTTTTTCTTGTTTGCAGTTCTAGGGGTCAAACCCAGGGCCTTGCTCATGCTAAGCAAGTGCTCTACCACTGAGCTACAGCCCTAGTCCTCACATGGAATTTTAGAACAAAGCCAAAATAATAAAAAGAATATCAGCACTGCAAAATAATTAATTTTAAAAATTAAAAATCACACCAGCCCAGCAAGCATGAGGCCCTGAGTTCAAACCGCAGTAACACCAAAAAATAAAAAAATAAGTAAAAATCAGGAACAAGAGACCTAGCCAAGATGTAACTTTGCAGGGCTTGGGGTACTCATACCCCTTGTTAGATGACGAAGTGGCCCCAGTCCCACTCTGCCCGGTTTCTGTCCCTTTCTCTGCTCTGAATGTCCCATGTACATCCCAGGGGGGGAGCGGCATGGCTGGTGAGGGCACAGAAGGAAACCCAGCCACACTTACGCTGGCTGACTATCTATGTCGGGGAGAAGGGAGCCTCAGAGTGAAGCTCTTGGCTGGGCCCCAGCAGGCTCTGCAGGGGGATGGGACCTTTCATAAGGGTGACAGCCAAGTTATTCTGTTGACCTGGTCAATATTAGCTCATTCCCCAGGAAGACAAGCACAGGTCCTAACTTTTCTTGTACCTCACTCTGAACTTGTGGAAGCAATTTGTCAAACGCCGCCTGCAACCTGCCCTTCTCTTTTGCAGTGCCCCACTGCTCCCCCCCTAAACAAGGATGGCTTCTCTTATTTGGAGTTTATAGGTTTGAGGAAGTAGAACTATTTGTTACAAAGAAGAGGAGGCTAAGAGAGACACAGAGCCTAACAGATCCAATTTGTTCTGAGCTTGCACCCAGGACCCTATAATTATTTCTCACGTTCCAAACCCGACACCCCAAACTGCAATGACAAGTGCCTTAGGCCTTTGTGGAAGGAGCAGTGGCTGGGCGGGGAAGAACAGGCCCGCCGTGAGTGGGCAGGTGAGTGGGGTTGGAGGTTTGGTGTCTGTGCTGGGAAAGGGCAAGGGCACTGCCATTGCTTGCAGAGGACCAAGGTGTCAGAAGACAGATGTTTGATTCCCTTAGCTCCAGGCGGCCTGATGAGAGGACTAGGTATGTTGTCAGTCAGTCTGGCTAGTGAGTTAAGTGCCCTCCTGTTTCTTCTGACCCCACAGAGCAACAGAGAGTGATGCTGCTGAGCAGGTCTCCATCAGGTCCCAAGAAGTACTTCCCCATCCCGGTGGAGCACCTGGAGGAGGAGGTCCGAGCGCGCTCAGCCGATGACTGCAAGCGCTTCCGTGAGGAGTTCAATGTGAGTGCGTGTGCCCAGGTGACTTGACACTGTGACATCCAGGGTCAGTGCTTCTGAGGACTCAGATCCCTTGAGTGAATTATGACACTGCACCAGAAGCAGGGTCCAGTGAGGTGCAGTGCCCCTCACTGATGTTTGCCACTTGTTACAAGGTGAGCGGAAACAGTTCTGCCGGCCTCACGAGGGCTCTGGCCAGCTCAGTCACTGAGTGCCATATTCTGAAACCAGCTGTGACAAAAACACCATTGTCTTCATTGTGGGGAGGACCAGGCCTAAGCCTAGAGCAGGATGGAAATTTCGTGCTGAGAGTCACAGAGCCAGCCCCCAGTTATCTCTTTGTGCAGCTTGAGCTTCTAATTGGAGCAGGGATTGTCCCTCTCTGAGCCATCATTGCTGCTATCAGGAGTCGGGGACTGTCTTCAGGGGACAGTAGCTTGGCCCTTTGATGTCTGTGCTGTGTGTGAGTCTGTGCTATCCTCATCCCAAGTCTGCTGTTATGCCCATGAACCCAGCAAAGCAGGGTGCACTCAGACACAGATTCTACCATCTGTACCGTCCCCATCTTAGCAACTGGTTCTCTTAACTCTCAACACAAAACTCAAATGTAGAGTAATGACTCCTCTGCTGGTGTTGACAGCTTCTTAGTTTTATGTCCTGTGATTTTGCGCCTGCTCTACATAGCCAGCTGGATAGATAGGCAGACACGCAGACAGACAGACAGACAGACACACACACACACACACACAGGCTTGCATTTGCGTCTCAGCATTGCCCCTGCTCCGGTTTTGAGTTTTGTCCAGGGCATCTTCCCCTTTGTGTGCACAGGTGTGTGTGAGAGAGGGCTGGTGCTCACAGGATGGCTGCCTTGGCCAGGCCTGGGCACATCCTCTGTGCTACTTCTGCTATGTATGAAGAGGTTGTCTTACTGACCTCACAGCACAAATGTGAGGCCCAGACAATGGGTTTCATAAACAACAAAGTGTTGTGCAATTGTTTTATCTTAAGATGGCACAGGGCACTGCTGCAGACCTGTGACTTTTCACACAGAAACAACCTGTGAAGACACGGGAAAGTGATGGTGCATTTAAACTGCACTTTGCTTGTTTGTTTTTTAACACAAGCTTCATTTTCCTTTATCTTGCTTCCTTTTTTATTGTTTCCAAATGGGTCCACCTATTTTTTTTTTTTTTTAGAAATCGGGTCATATTGAAAGACAGCTCCAAGCACTTTTGTTTTGCAATCTCTCAGCTTGACAAGAGAAGTCAATTCTCCATTTTCAAAATAACCATCGTGTTTGCAGCTAGAAGCTCTTGTCTTCCCTCTTGTCCCAGTTCCCTTCCACTTTTGTACCCTGTGTGTAGGGGGCCTGGGGGCAGGGCTTGCTGAAGGAGGGCTCTGAGTCAGAGACACAGGGCTCTGTCACCACCACAAAAGTGAGGACTACACCCAGGACGAATAGGGTGAGGCACTTGGCCCAGGCTCTGATTCAAGAGGGCACTGAAAAGCTCAGCAGTCAGGATAAATCATGTTTCAGTGCAACGTTTAAAAATACCAAAATTAATGCAAGCAGTCTGTACTGAGCAAATAGCACAATGGTAAAAGAAGACAGGTTTGGTCTCACAGATTTTTGTCCTCTTGGCCTGGGTCCCAATATGGCTCATACCACACAGTTACTGATTCTACCATTGCTTAAAAGTTTGATGCTTTGGTCATTACAGATTTTGTACATCAAGTTGTATTTTTTAAAAAGGATATCGCATCAGAAGTTTATTTCTTGTGATTCCTGAGTTTTCTTGGACTCTCTTTAAGTTTTGCACCCAGGGTAAGGCCCTGTGCTCTTCCCACTCCCAGCCCCACCTCTGTGCAGCCCTTCAGCTGCACATACATCTCCCCCTGCCCTGTGACAGGCAGGCTGAGATATGGGGCAGGGAGGAGCTCTGGACTCAGAGTTCAGCTCATGGGGCCTGCTTGTGGCCCTTCTCTCTGGTGGGTGACTGATCTGGTCCTAAGACCACATTCCTGTACATCTCTCTCTTAAAGAGCACCAGAGCCTGTCAGGACCAGCCACTCCTAGGTGCTCAGGAGTTCTGCCCTTGCACCCTTTCCTTCTCTTTCCTACCCACTGGATGGCCTCTCCCAGGAACAACTGAAGGGACCAAAATGAGTCTCAATATGATCCACTCCATTGCACTTGGACATTTGTGCACTGCCAAGCTACAGAGCAGGTGAACTTGAGGATAAAAAGGACTTGTCTCTGGGGTTATGAGCACAGACAGACAAGTACTGGGGTCAGCCTGCCTGCGTACCTGTGTCCTCAGTGGGAAAGGGACACTCTCTGCCCCCATAGTACTGTGATAACCAGTACATAAAAAAGGTGACAGGCAACGTGTAAATAGGACATTATCGTCCTGGTTTCTACAGTCTCCACTGGAGATGGAAGATTGCCATCCTAGTGAAGTCTGTTCCAGACCCCAGATTAAATCCCAGTGGGTGAGCACCATTATCCAAGAAACATCCTCTGCCCCCCAAGCTTCTGGATCTTCCTGACATCTGTCTGAGCATGTCATTTCTAGCCAGGTGTCTGGGACAGGGGAGGTGGCATCAGAAAAGGTCCCTGCACAATAAACAAACCAGAACTGTCCCCAGGGGCTTGCTGGAACAGATGCGCCTCTTGCAGAACCTGGTGCAGAGAGGCACTGCCCGGCTAGCACGTAACCACAGAGAAGCCCCAGGCGCACTTTTACTTCTCCTGGGCCTGAGTGGCTGGGAGCTCAGACAGATTCCCAGGTAGATTGGCAGTGGGACTGAATCTGTACAGGTGGTTTGGTTGTTGTGTGTGCTTGGCTCCTGGGTACCTGTGCAGGGCATAGGGTGCTCTGCCTGCCTCACTCCATCCTACCCTCTGTGAGCCCAGGGAACCAGGGAGCACCACCCATCTCCACCTCACATGTCTTGGGCAGCTGTCAGGGCCATACAGCTGTGGTGTCAGACCCTGGTCCCTCTTTACCACTCACACCCCTCCCCTCTGGCCACCACACTACAGTCGCCTTGCCTACCAGAGAAGAAGAGCACTTCTCAGGTTTTTTTTTTTAGTTTATTATTTTTAGTAGACTTTATTTTAGGGAAGTTTTAAATACACAGAAAAATTACACACATGCTGGATAGTTCCTGTATATACATCTCTCCCCAGTGAGTAGTTTCCTGTTATTTACTCTTAACTCTTGCATTGGTGTGCTGTATCTCTTTTCTTTTCTTTCCTTTTTTTGGCTGTACTGGAGTTTGAATTCAGGGCTTTCCACTCACTGGGTAAGCACTCTAACACCTGAGCCACTCCTCCAGTGATTTTTGACTTTAGTTATTTTTTGATACGGTCTACAGTTTTTCCCAGGCTGGCCTCAAGTTATGATCTTCCAGATCTCTTGAGTAGCTGGGATTATAGCTGTGAGTCACCACACCAAGTCTCATTCTGTGGGTTTTGCCAAGTGCCTAGTGTGTCATGTACCTTCATTCCCATCTCATGCCTGGTTTTCATGTCTAACGCCAGGGCTAAAAAGGCTTTTGAGGATAAAGAGGGGGCCCTAGGATGTTATCACAAATTCAGTATCTTGGTAAGGTCAGAGCTCTGTTAAAAAGCTCTGCTGATGAATCAGACCTCAAGGGGAGTAGGTTTTGGTGCCTGGGGACAAGGTCAAGAACTGCTCATTGGCCTAGCCAAGGTGCCCACCAGGGTGGTCCCTGTCCACTGGCTCTGGCAGATCCTTTGCTTGTGGCACTGGCATGTGGTGACCCCAAAACAGAGACAGAGGGTGGTCTATGGCATCCTGATGTGAACACTTGGAGGAGCCAGGTCTGTGGTGAGAGAAGCTCCTACTGAGAAAAGGAGGCTCAGAGACCTGACCCACAATGTGGGCACGCACAGCGCAGCAGTGGCTTTGATCTGAGGCTGCACTGTGAGGCCACCCCCAGCTGGGACACACGGACACCCCCTTTCCCCACTCTTGAGGCCGCCCTCAGAACCTCTCGCCAGCCAGTTGATCTGAATAAATCTATGCCCGCTTTGCCTTGGGTTTCAGATGCCTCACCCCTAAAACAGAGGTAATCCTGGTGTCAACTGATAATAGGTGAGTTGTGACAGCTGGGTAGATGACCTAGCTCCTTGGGCTGTGCCTGGCACATTGGAAGTGCTCAGTAAATATTCATGCTTCCTCCTTGGATCTCAGGGCCCCCAGGGCCAGCCAGTGGTCAGGTTGGTTGTTGAAGGGCATGATTTGGATTTTAAAGTGTTGTACCACCTTGGCATGGCAAGGAGCTCATCTGAGCATACAGCAGGTCCCCGAAGCGAACAAACTCAGGAGAACTGGAGCCCACTGAGAATCGGAGGCAGCAGCTCCAGGTAGTGTAAGGGACTAGAAGTCAAGATGCCTGAGTTTACCTGCAGCTGCACCACTCCTCATTTGTAGCACTCTACGTCCAGCAAAGGGAAGCATTTGTGTCAACTTACCTCCTTGTCTCAGCCAAGGGGTTGGTAGGGGGATATGTCTAGAGCCCCTGTGAGTGCAGAATTCTGGGGAACTGGTCATGTGGGCGCTGACTCAGGGGTCCTGGGAGGCACCCAGAGAGTAGGAAGCTCCCAGGTTCAGACACTGCCAGTCCACAGACACCTTGAGTCCTGAGCAAAGTTAGGTAGGACTGCATCTAAGTTCACTTGCCCTCATTCTCCTTACCCTCAGCCCCACCCCAAAGTCCCAGCAGCTGTCCTTGTTGCTGTTTCTGGTCAGAGCTCCCCTTCGAGGTCAGTCTATCCCAGACTGGGATATGCCTGCCTGGCCCAGGACCTGGGAAACCTGGGATCTGGTGGAATGTGAAGTAGTCCTAGCCTTCCCATAGCTCAGGATCTAGCTTATGGGACCGTCATTTTGGCCACAGTTCTGTTGATCCCACTAGACAGAAGGCCCTGGTGGGAGTCAGGGTGTGAGTCTCATTCAGTCTCTGTGTTGTGCCCGGTACGGGTCTGAAGCAAAGACGGGCGATGGACAGAAGGTGGTTTTCTCTAGACATGTTTTAAGTCCTGTACCTAGTAGGGAAGCTGATGGGAACACATTGTCTGGATTCATTGCATCTAGCACTAACTCTACATTCTTTTCCAGTCATTGCCATCGGGACACATACAAGGAACTTTTGAACTGGCAAACAAAGAAGAAAACAGAGAAAAAAACAGATATCCCAATATCCTTCCCAGTAAGATTTTACTTCTTTTTTGTTTGTTTGTTTTTGACCGATCAGCGATGTTTAGCTAAACTCAATATTGCTTTGTAGCTTCCCAGTGATGGTGTCTGTCCTACTACCAGTGCCTTGATGCTCCTCGATCAGGGGTCCCTGAGCCAGTGTTTGCAGCTGGGGCTGTCCCCCTACTCAGGTGCCTTTACTGCTCACAGGTCTGGTCGCTAAGCCTGTGCCTGCTAAGGAGGCCTGTACTTCCTAGAAACGAGAGGGGCAGGGGCACTGCCTTATGCCCTTGTGCATCAGCAGGCAGGGCGCCTCCTACCACATTTGCTCTTAGGCTTGCAGGTGGCCTTGGGCAATTGCTTCCTCAGACTCAGGGCTCTTGGTCATGAGCAGCAAAGCACCAGTGCACTCAGGTCCTGCACCAAGGACAGAAATGACAAAATAAGAAATCCATTATGGGTTTTGGAACACCTTTGTGGTAAAGCTTAGAATCAACCCAATTTTAACCCCCAAAGCAAACACTGGGCATAGGCTGGACATTGTGGGTGTCAGAGGCTGTGGTGTCAAAACCAAGGCACAGACATCTGTTATGTTGGGCATTTTGGGACCTGCTGTGGCTGGCTGGGCTGTGCCCTGCAATGCCTGCCTCACTGCCAGGACAAATCTGCAGATTACCAGCCACCTTCACTGAAGCTGGCCAGGAAGGGTTGCAGCAGCCTTCACCCCACCTGGAGCCCTCCCACCCTCCCATCGACAGCTTTGCCCTTCAGGCTAACAGAATAGCCTGAAGGAGCCTCAGCGGTCTCCACGAAGTTCACATTTGAATCCTGAACCCAAGGCCTCCTTCTGGTCCAAGGAACCACCTATCTGAGGCAGGTCCTGCTGGGATCCGGGAGGCAGCCTGCAGTGGGCTTTAGCATGTTGCACCTAGCTGTACTTTTTGAATTAGAATTTTGTCTATCTGTTCTGTATGAACAAGAAGCTATGATCTGTCCGATCTGTAGCCTCTGGGTCTCCAACACATTCTGGAAGTAATACTTTCCGACTTTGCACGCATGGGATTTTTCTAAAAACCCACCATGAACCTGTGATCCAACTTAAACTAGAGAAATTTAACAAACAGCCTTTCTTTTATGGGGGGCAGCCACAGGAGGGCAAGGCAGGGGTTGTACAAGCCCACTGCAGGGGTTGTACAGCTGAGTCAGGAGTGTGGCTTGGCCCAAGCTTAGATGGACACAGTGAGGCCAAGTCAAGAGTTTCAGCTCTGGATGGACTGTTGAAATCAGAGAAGGAGGGGCAGCCAGGTCCATGGCTTAAAGGGAAGGAAGCCCACAGCTGGGGGAGGTCTAGACAATTTAGAATAATTTGTGTCAAATAAAAATCAGGACAATAGAAGATTAGTATCAATTTCTAATTTAATCAGTCACTTACTTGAGTGGTTGGTGCACCGGTTTGCCCCTTGTGTGTTAAGGACCTACCTACTCAGCGCCAAGTGCTTTCAAAGTTCCTTTCCTGCATTTCTCTCTCAATTACTAAAACCACTTACATTGTTAAGGCTTGAGAACTCCCACCTGTAATTCTAGCGTTCAGTAGGCTGAGACAGGAGGATTTCAAGTTCAAGGCCAAGAGAGACTCTGTCTCAAAAAAAAAAAAAAAAGAAAGAAAGAAAGAAAATGAGAAAAGGCAGGAAGGGAAAGAAAAGAACCAATAGCCAGGTGTGGGAATCTCCTACACCCAGCCCAGGTAGAGTGCCCACCTCACCTAGGAGTTCCCCCACCTGGCTTGGGCAGAGCCTCCCTCCTGCCAATCTCCCTGAGGTGCATGTTGCTCACTTTGCAAGGCACAAGTAAATTGGTCTGTCCCCGAAGTGTGAGAGCACAGCAGGATTCTGAACAGCTTGTCCAGTGCTATAAGCTCTCCTTTGCCCCTGTCCCCACCCCAGTGTGGCAGTCCTGCTCCAGCCCTTCCTGCCCAGGAACTTGCAGTGCTGGCAGCTGTTCAAGGCTCAGGAATGCCATGTCTCTGGTATGTTCAGAGCAGCGGTGGGGTGGGGGATTTCAGGAACAGTGGCATGAAGACCTTGTGCCCAGGCAAGGACCCATGGTGGCCCTAGGCTGATTACATTGAGCAGTTGGTCAGAGATACCTCCAGTGCCCCTGCGGGGGCCAGGATACTAGGCTGAGTTTTGGGATATCATACAGGGACTCTCAGCACTGCTGCCCAGGGCCAAGGTGTGAGCAGTCTTCGTACTCAGAGTAGGACTGAGGGTCAGCAGGGAAAGGCAGGTGGAGACTGCAACTTCCACTACCCTCGGTGCCCCCTGCCCTTCCCAGACTCCCTCAAGCCTGGCAGACCAGAGCCAGGTTCATAAGATGCCCCTGGGCCAGGAGTGCAGTTTCAACTGTGCCATGTGACACTGTGGGAACAGAGTTGAACACTTTGTGTGTCCCAGAAGTTGGACTGTGTCTGTGGAAAGCTCCATGACCAAGGACTAGAGTCCTCTTTGCTGGAAGAATGCCAGCAGCTGATCATTTTAGGAAATAATGCTTTGAGAGTGGCGTGACTTTTTAGGATGAAAAAACAGGAAGCTCTTAGAAACTGCCAGATTCTCATTCTAACCAGTAGGTTATTTTTTACCCTCTGCATTTCTATAGTTGTCCTCAAAGTGTAAGTCATTTTAAATTATCTCCAACTAGCCTGACACGTGCTCAGCCAAAGCTATTTCTGACTTGGGGTTGTCCATGGGACAGAGGTTTGGGGTTTGACACCTACCTGCCCACCCGTGTGAGCCGTGACTGTCCCTCAAGCTTTGCTGCCCCTCCTCTATCATCAACAGAACAGCTATGGCTCAGCTGTGAGCCTGGACAAGAGTCTGAGGCCAAGGGCATGGTCCAGCCAGGTGAGGCCACGGCGAGGCTTTGCCAGGTAACACCCGCAAACAGCCTCCTTGTGAGGAGGGACTGGAGGGGATGAGGACTGGACAACTCTGTAATAATGCAGGTAGTAGCACGAAGCACCTGCCATGTTCAAGCACTAGAGACTCCTGAGGCAGCTTTGTCCTGGGCCTGTAAGTCCCCATGTGCCCTAGGAAGGTGGCAGCTCTCACCACATCTAGGAGCCCCATGGCCAGGTAACCATGAGGGCCCATGAAAACTTTCATCATTTCTCTGCCTTCAGGAAGAAACATACAAACAATCCAGCCATCTTTTTACTACCTGTGGACAAGGTGGTAAAGCAGCTTTTTCAGTTGTTCTTATGGATGAAAGATCAAAAGGCAGAGGTGACTGGGCCCATGGAAGTCCGAGTGCAAACCCAGCTGAAGCCTCCGGGCATGCATACACCCCTCAACACACGTATAGATGGCATCACACACACCAGCCACTCACCACACCATATACCACACACAACCCATTCACACTGCACCACACACCATACAGGTAAAAATACCACACAACACATGCCTAACACACTCCAAGCACACATACACAACACACACACACACACTCAGCACAGCACACACATACACCACACATGCACCCATGTAGCAGACTGGGATCTCCCTGGAGCAGATGGGAAGGATGGAGACTGAAATTCAGAGTCCCAAACCCCAAGCCCATCACCCATGTGTCCTTTTGAAAGCCTGGGTGTGTAGGACTGGCCCTTTACCCAAGGTTCTCCATGCACACTTGCCCTGATCAGTGCTGGAGTCCAGTAGTGGTTACCATGCTGTAGGGGTCTGATCACACTCTGCAGCTCCGTGCCTGTGGTCTCTTAGCAGCCCCATGCTGGGTGCTGAAGTTCTACCTGTCATCCCATGGCCAAGGTATAGGTGAAATAAGTACATCCTGACCCTCAGGGCCACAGTGGCTGGGAAGATATCTCTTCTACCCCTGCAGCGCTGTGGAAGGCCAAGTCAGGCCCTTCCCAGTGGTTGTGGTTGGTTCTTTAGGTGAAAGAAATACCAGGCTCCTGAAATTCCTTCCCCTAACTACACAGGTTTGTCTGGTTTTTTCCAGATGATCACTCCAGGGTGATTTTGAGCCAAGTCGATGGAATTCCCTGCTCAGACTACATCAATGCATCCTACATAGATGTAAGTTGATGCCGATCCATTCCCCTGCCTCGCATGGGACACCCATGAATCATGACCTGTGGGCATTTCCTTCTCTGTGCCCAAGTACACACGGTCACCACCACTCTGGAAAGTTTGGCCACCCACAGTCCCAGAGCATGAAGCCACTGGCTCCTTTCCAGCCACCACATACACCAGGGAGTCTGTCTTCAAGACCCCACAGATAGCACACAGTGGGAAACAGACAGGCACAAAGGATGCCTGCCATGGTATTATTTGTATTCCTGACAAACTGGAGCCAGTTAAATACATTGTGACAAAACCACATGCAGTGGTTTATCAAGAATTCATTTAATTTATCTTTAAAAGATCATTTATATAAGTTATCAACTTCTCACTTCAACATATAAAATCTGTACACGTTAGTCCAATTAAAAAATATATATATAAGTGTTTGTGCACCTGTCTCGTGTGTGTGTGTATGGGAAAATTCACAGGAAAAAAAATAACACTAGGGAGGGGACCTATGAAAGTAGCATTTGTTAGTTCTGAAATTGCTGGCCAGTTTTCTTCTTACTTTTTCCTGTCTTCTAAATTCCTAGCAACAAAAAGAGCTTCTCATCAAAGATAATTCTATAAATCTGTTTTTATTTTTCTAGGGTTACAGAGAGAAGAATAAATTCATAGCAGCTCAAGGTAAGCTTTTTATTAAGTTCACTTCTGAACATTATTTTGATAAAGTGATAGAATATTGCCAGCATGCCAATACTTTGTTTTGCAAATGCCTGTGTGCCGGAATGTGTAACAGCATGTTCGGCGTCCATGCATGCATGGATATCCGTAGCTGGACACACACATATATCTGCAGTTTGTACACAGGGTTACATGGGTTGCCACTTTGACATCCTGAGGCTTGCATAACCTTGACTCTGTGCTGATCGAGCTCCCTAAGTTTTGGGGGTTAGGATCTGAGTAGCTTTTTAGATCAAGACCATAGCCAAGATGCTTCAGCCATGAAAGCATGCTCTTGACCTTGTACATAACCCCACCTGTACACAGCACCTTCGTCCAGCCTCCTGTCCCACTCTCCCAGACCCTGTCACCACCAGGAGCCAGTGCTACACACAACTAGGGGTTAGTGGAGGTAAACCTAGGGTTCCTTCCTCCTCCTCTTAGGCCAGGAGTCCATAAGTGAGTCCCAAAACTCAGCGTATACCAAAATATCCCAGGGAGCTGTTACAAATCCAGATTGTCTGAAAATAAGGAGCTGCACGTGTATACACATGCACACATGGAGGACATCAGGAATATTTCCAGTGAAAACCTCCAAACATTGGTTGACACAGATAAAAGCAAATATTTGTTTTGTAAGCAGATATGGCGGGGGGGGGGGGGGGGGGGTGCAGCTCAAGGCTGGGTATCAGCTCCAAGGAGAGGGACTTCTTCACTCCCTTCTTAGCCTCAGGGACACAGAATGACAGCTGTACCTCCAGGTACTGTGTCTGTATTCAGGCAGGAAGTGAACAAAGGCCAGAGGACATTCTTCTAGTGACACTCTTAAGTTTTGTTCAGATCCTCTCCCCAGGGACTTCAGCTCATATCCTGTTGGACAGCACTGCCCTGGGAGATTGAGATTTTGACAAAGGAGAGGGGGTTAGACCTGGAGGGTTAGTCATCAGCTTGCTCTCTCTCTCTCTCTCTCTCTCTCTCTCTCTCTCTCTCTCTCATACACACACACACACACACACACACCCCACATCCATTCTGGCTCCAGAGGGAGCCTGCTGCTCTGAGGTACTCAGGTACTCATAAGCACACGGAATGGCCACAGGCTGCTTTGACACTTAGCATTAAAACCATCCCCTGCTGACATCCCTTTGTCATTCATGAAGGTCCTCATCCAAACCTGGCCCAGGTGTTCATCTGCGTTCCTAGCTGGAGTGCCCATCTTGTGCCTCAGGGAAGGCATGAGCAGCCATCCTAGGCCAGGTGCAGGGGCCAGGCCCTGACACCTGTCCCTGTGCCCTTAACCCTGGTGATGCCATCTGCCTGCAGGCCCTAAACAGGAGACAGTGAACGATTTCTGGAGGATGGTCTGGGAGCAGAAGTCGGCCACCATTGTCATGCTAACGAACCTGAAGGAGAGGAAAGAGGTGAGCTCTCTGGCACTGGTCAGCCTGGAGGCCTGTCCCCTGGGGCTTGCTGGGAGTCCTGACAACTTCCTGTGCCCATCCCTTCCTTCCTTGCTGTGCAGGGAAAGCTCTCTGTGTTCCTAGTGCCTCACTGTTTTGATCTATGAGGTCCAACAAAGCAAGGCTTTTCCTTCCTCAGCCAAGGGCCACCAGCTGACCCACAGCTCTTGCCCCACGGGGAGCAGCAGGTTTTAAAGTGGAGGGTTCTAGTGTGTTGGGCAAGGACTGGGGTGGGCCTCAGGCTACAAGTGACCATGATCACAGCTTTATTATCCAGACAAGAGGGACACACTTGAAACAAGGCATGTGGGAGGAACACAGGTCACTAGCTGAATTTGAAACATGAACAAAGAGTCCAGCCCTTCCTTGCCCAGTACAACCAAGGCTTCATTAGCCTGATATACTGGGTGGCTGAATCCCAGGTGACAGGAGCAGGGGATCGAATGTGGCTGGGAAGGAGGGCGCCAGAGCCCTTGTAGGCTTGCAGCTGTGAGCAGGATCTGTTGTAAGCAGGAAGTTTGTTCTCCAAATGAAAGCTGTGCTTTCCCTGCACAGCTAGGAAGGAAGGGATGCCTCAGGCAAGCCAGTCGGGAGACTGCACTTCTAGCAGGTCCCAACATGAGTGCCACCATGCTGGGTGCTGAGGCTAGGTGTCTGCCTATCTGGCCTCTGCCTAGGGTGCTTCGGCATGGGAGGCCCTGGCCTGGCCCCAACAGAGCCTGGTGTGCTGAGGACTTGGGCAGAGACTGCAGTGTTCAGGTGAAGGACCTGGCCCTGTGGCACTAGAGGGGGGGGCAGGAGCACTGCCATTCCCCCAGAGCCACCTACTAATGGGCTGCACACCAAAAAAGCACAGGAAAAGCTTCCAGCCACCAATTTTGGTCTTCCGGTCAGGGACAGGACAGGGGTTTGGTTTTGGTTTTGAGAGTCGGGGCTGGAGCGCACTAGTCCTCCATCCTATGACTCCTGCCCTTGTCATCCTTTGTCACTGATGGAAAGAATGACTAAAGGGACTGTCACTGTGCCTTCCTCCACTGGAGCAGCTTGAGGGACCCCTGCTCTGTAGAAAAGGAATGGAGCCTTCACCAGGGCCCCAACATCTGCCCAGGAGCCGCTGCTCTAGTCACAAATCATAGCGAGGCCAGAGCAAGGCTGTGGGGTGCAGACTATTCCCCCAGGCCCCTGCCGTGCTGTTGCCATGTTGCCTGGCATCTCCCTCTCAGCTCCCTCCGAGCCTGTTCCTGGGTGTTTCCACACATGACTCAGTGCTGCCTGCTGGTCCTCTCAGTTTCTGCCATTTCCGGTGAAATCATTTCTCAAGTGACTTCCTTTTTCTCAGCTGTGGTCTCATGGCTGTGGCCCACATCCTGGGCAGCACGTTGTGAAATGCAGCTGGCATCTCATGACCTGAGGGAGGCTGGAGGCTGGGGTACAGGACAGCCACAAGCCCTGGGCTGCATGAAGCCTAAAGGCAGGGCTTATCTCTGCAGGAGCCTTTGGAGACACAAATGGCCAGAGGGTCCCCAAAGCCCTAGGGGGGGGTCCAGACTGGCCCACGCCAAGATCTTTGGCACTGGCCACTTCAGAAGCCCTGTGGCAGTGGCCAGCCTAGTCCAGGACGCAGGGGCATTTATTTTGTGGATGTCATAGCCTGGTCTTTGGCAAATAGCAGGTGCTTTTGCTTTGTGACATTAATCCTGGAGACTTAGCCACTCATGGGCCATTTCCAGGACAGCCTGGAAGAAGCCTACAAGGTTAAACTTGAGACTTCTCCATAGAAGACTGTGCAGATCTTTTTACCCTGGTATGGGTCCCTGTGTTTTGTGCTAACAGATGACTGTCCGCTGGTGAGATGCAGGGGGCACCAGAAAACCAAAAGGCTTCTAAGGCTTGTCTTGGGGCCATGTCGATTTCATAGGGAGGAAAGGTAAAGAAGTGGCCCCTTCATAACCAGGTGCCCTCTAGCAGACTTCCACATCAGCCTCATCCTCGTCAGAGGAAAATGTGTTCCTTAGCTTAACCCTGGTCACTCCTCTTGAACGGCCTGGTGGCCCTGCAGACATGTGTCCTGAGCGGGAGGAAACAGACTGCCGAATGGAAGTTCAGAAATGTTCTGAGAAGGGTGAGCCTCGCGCCAGCCTGAGGGTCACCCGTGGTTAGCCCAACTTAAGCGAGCAGCCTCAGCACAGCCAGGCTCAGCCAGTTGAATAGGATGTGTGGGAGTTAGCAAGCGCCAGAACAAAGAGGACATCACTGTGTCAAAATCTGAAAGCCGGCCACACTTACGGTCTCATGGCTGCTTTTAAGCAGTTGTGTGACCACACTTCCCAGATTTATAAAGGACACTGCTTGCCTGAACTCCTTCTCAGCCCCAGGAGCTATACGTGAGGCCTGTGTGGATGGTAGGGGTAAGGGGACAGGGCATGGAGCCATGATGCACCCACAGACCTATTTGTTTCTGTAAATTCTTCCACACAGGAAAAGTGCTATCAGTACTGGCCTGACCAGGGCTGCTGGACCTACGGTAACATCCGAGTGTGTGTGGAAGACTGTGTTGTTCTGGTAGACTACACCGTCCGCAAGTTCTGCATTCAGCCGGTAAGCATGTCAGGTGTTCACTCCCTGGAAGCGCCATTCTTGGAGAGTGCAAGGTCAGGCTCAATGTGAAGAGCTTTGCCCACCCTAGCAGACCTGTGGCTGTCACCCAGGCATGTGGCTGAAGGCCAGGCTGTGTTGAGGGTGGTGGGCCAGGAATGTGAGTCTGAGAAGTGTGCTGGGTTCCCGGGGAAGAAGCAGACTAGCTGGAGGAACAGGGGATCCCCCCACCACCACGGGGACACACACACACACACACACACACACACACACACTCTGTAGCACGATGTCATTCCCCACACTGGAATTGTGAGGAGGGATTTCTTTTTTAATGGTTTCAAAATTATGTCTGAAACCAGCTGTTGTTTTTCACATTTATTCCGTGCTAGTCCCCCTTACAAGGATTTAAGGCAGTTTTCCATAAAAGTGTCTGTGAACACGGCAGATGCAATAAAGATTTAAGAGATGTTTTAAAACCACCGTAAAAGCAGAAGGTCATTTTATCAGGAATCAAAGATAGAGCAATAGGTGTAATTACGTTACAAAATAGGAGCCAAGTTTCCTAGAAGGCACAGCAAAAAAACAAGAGAGAGAAACGATGGGCCGGGCTGTGGCTCAAACACTTGCCTAGCATTTGTGAAGTCCTGGGTTCTAATCCCAACACTGCAAAAAAAAAAAAATCCCCCATTGACCTCTGTTCTGGATGCAGCACACACACGCACACACACACACACACACTTTTTTTTTGAGACAGAGTCTGGCTGTGTAGCCCACAAAATCACAACCCTGAGTGCTGGGATTACAGGTGTGTACCACCACACTCGTTTACACAAATACTCTGTTTCTAACCTCCCTTGGACAGGGCAGGGAAACTAAACTCATGACTCTGAGAGAGGCTCTGAGGGAGGATCTGGGGGTCTCCTGTGCTTAGGCCAACCCATCATCTTTTCTGAATGAAGGGAAGTGCTGTTGGCAGTTACACAGGACCACAGGAGTGACATGGGGTCATCCAGGCCATGCAGCACTGGCCCCTCCTCAGAAGCGGGCTTCCTGGGCATTATCACCAGTTTTCAGGATGTTGGGTTTCCTGAGACCTGATGGCCCAAGTGTGGCCAGGTGCCATGTACCTGCTCTGTGTGCCTACCTGTAATCCTAGCTACTCAGGAGGCAGAGGTGAGGATTGAGGCTCAAAGCCAGCCTAGGCAGATAGTTCTTAAGACGGTACCTCAAAAATACTCCGCATGAAACTGGGCTGGCGGAGTGGCTCAAGTGGTACAGTGCCTGCTTAGCAAGCATGAGGCCCTGAGTTCAAACCCCAGTACAAACACACAAAAGAGCCTGTGAGACCACCAGGGTTCACTTGTGTCCTGCACATTGGTGGACACTGACCAACAAGCATTGCTACCACCACAGTGTGGCTGGGCCAGCAGAGCCTTACCCATCAGCGGGAGACCTGGGGGTGGGGGTAGAGGTGGGGGAGGTGGTCCTGCCCCCCTGGTGGTCTCCTCACCACCCCCACCCTCACAGCAGCTCGCTGATGGCTGCAAAGCCCCTCGGCTTGTCTCCCAGCTGCACTTCACCAGCTGGCCAGACTTTGGAGTGCCTTTCACCCCCATCGGGATGCTGAAGTTCCTGAAGAAGGTGAAGACGCTCAACCCCTCACACGCCGGGCCCATCGTGGTCCACTGTAGGTACGGCAGGGAGTGGTAGGAACCTCGAGGGTGGATCTGGGTGGGAAATGACCCGGGGGCCCGGTGAGGGGAAGGCAGGGTCATAAACACCAGTGCACAGTTCCTGAGCCGCTGCTCAGAGCCCTGCACCTCTCCTGCACCCCGTGCACCCCATGGTAGCAGAGCCCCCTCTTCACTGGCATCCCAAGGGGACCCAATGTGCAAAACCAACCGAAGCAGAGAGGCCCGGACTGATGGCGGAGTGGGGTCTGGCAGGTCCACTAGGCCTCGCCCTCTGCTCAACCGAGAGGCATCCGAGGGTCGGTCAGCTCCCAAGGGCATCCATCAGGGTGCCCCTTCCAGGGTACGGTGAGCGCAAGAGGGCAATGTTTGGAGGTAGAGAAAGCATTGATTGCCAGCCAGTCTCACTCCTGCGCGCTGCTGGGTCTCCGGAAAGTGGTTGCTGGGTCTGCGGCGGCCTCTGGTGGCCTCAGGCAGATTTGCGCTCCAGTCGTCTAAGAAGTTGCACTTAAGTCACTTAGCGGCAGCCCATGTCCTCTTGTCCTGGTGTTCAGACATCTTCCCAGGCTTGTCATTTGCTTCAGGGGGGAATGTGACTCACGAGGTGACATCCTCTCTTTCCCAAAGCGCGGGCGTGGGCCGGACAGGCACCTTCATCGTGATCGACGCGATGATGGACATGATACACGCCGAGCAGAAGGTGGACGTCTTTGAGTTTGTGTCGCGAATCCGCAATCAGCGTCCTCAGATGGTTCAGACGGACGTGAGTGCTGCTAATTCCAACCTGGGGCTGAACTTCGCAGAGCACCCAGGTGCCTTCGCCTGCGACGCACAGCGCCGCCCCTCTCCAAGGCCCAGCCCCACCCCATGGCCCAGTTTTAATAGTCTACCTAGCCACAGGCCAGCAGCCCACCCAGAGTGAGACCACCCATTCTGCCTCTTCCTCCCAGGGGCCTTGGGCGACTGCTGACCCTTGTTCTTTCTATCCTCATATGCCATGGGGTTGTTTGCATACCCCCAGGATGGTGCCCGGTGTCCTCAATCAATACCAGATACTATCATCACCTTTACTGGGGCCCTAAGCAGCCAGTCTACATGGCCTTTAATCTGACCCGCACTAACCTTCTTTCCACTGGACCCAGGGCAGAGCTGAGTGTCGGCTCCCTGTCTCCCTGTAGGTGCAGTACACGTTCATCTACCAGGCCTTACTGGAGTACTACCTCTACGGGGACACTGAGCTGGATGTGTCCTCGCTGGAGAGGCACCTGCAGACCCTGCATGGCACAGCCACCCACTTCAACAAGATTGGGCTGGAGGAGGAGTTTAAGGTAAGTCCTGGCAGCCCGGCTGCCTCTGCATCCTGGGGTGGGTGGTCCAGACGGCAGCATTTAAATGGAGCCTTTTTGGATCACTTACCCTCTTGACTGAGCCCAGAACAGGAGGGTGGTGACATTGGAGGGAAGGATGGATGGCTGGGGCATTTAGAGCTGCAGGCAGGAGACAGCCTGTTCTATTTCCTACTACTAAGGTGCCATCTAGAGATGGAGACAGATATGCCCTCTGAACAGGTCCCCAGCTTGTAGGACTGAGACCTGGAGTGACAAGAGTTTTAACTGGGTCATTGTGTCCTTCTTGCTGAGTCTCAGCCCAGGATGCCTCTAGCCCGAGCCCTCCCAGGCCCCACGTTGTGTCCTTCTTGATTGCAGAAACTGACGAATGTCCGGATCATGAAGGAGAACATGAGGACTGGCAACTTGCCAGCCAACATGAAGAAGGCTCGAGTCATTCAGATCATCCCATGTAAGACTGCCCTGTCACAACCTCCACCCTTCCTCATGGCTGGGGCAGGGTTGGGCTGGTTTCCCAGGGCTGAAGGTCCACTGATCACCCTGCAAATCAGGGTCAGGGACAGGGGCCTCTGGGCCCAGCTCTGAGCTCCTGAGCACCATGTTCAATGTCAAGAAAGGAGGATCTCCTGGGGCACCTCGGGTGACACAATCCCACGTGGGTCTCAGGTGGCAGTCTGGGGTGTGGCTTACAGGCAGGTGATCCATGTCACATGAGATGTGTCCTCAATCGCCCTCTGCTCACCAGACACTTGTCACTGTCAAATGGCTACAAACAGGCTTGCTCCCCCTATGGTCACCATGCTGTGAGACGCACACAGTTCCTGGGGACTGGGCCAACCTCCCCAGGCTCAGACCCTTGATTCTCTGTGACTGGGGTGTCCTCAGGCCTGGGGCTTCAGGCTCCTACATGGTCATTCTTTTTATTCCTTAAATGCAGTGTTTTCAATGCTCATATTTTGGGATCTATTACATCCATTTATGACAAGTCAATGACAGCTGGATTATTTTAAGAGCTGTCCTGTCAAGCACTTCCTAAGTCACTTTTTTGACCTCCTTGATAATGGAAAGTTCCCAAAGAGTTAGCGTTACCTGCTAACTTTGTTAGTAGACTTTACAGTTTGGAAGCTTATAGGTGACAGAACTAAGTCTACAAGGCAGGGTTACACGGTTGCTAACGGAGGCAAATGCCACTTTGCAGATGACTTCAATCGGGTGATCCTGTCCATGAAAAGGGGTCAAGAATACACAGACTACATCAATGCGTCCTTCATAGACGTACGTACTGGGCCTGGGTGTGCTGCGTGTGATGTGTGGTGCCTTCCTGTACGGCCACAGCTCTTGATTTTCACAATAGAAAGAATTGTCCAGTAACCCAACTGCTTTGTTAGCTGAATTACCTGCTTTAAAAAAAAAAAGAGAAAGAAAAGAAAAGAAGAGTGAACCTTGGAAATAGGATACAGTAATTGGCTACTTTTTCACTCTGCTCGTAAAAGATAGCTATTCTTCTTTTATGTATCTGTGACACACCAGGGCTTTCAGGTGAGCTCTGCCATGTGACCCCACGTGGACAATACGATTGGTCCAGGGCAGAAGGGAACTTCTCAGCCAAGGGTGTGTTAGGATTTCTTTTTGCTGTTGAAGAAAGTGCCTGAGGTGTTGGTGGGGCCTGGTGGAGGAGGTGGGATTGGAACCCCTTCCAGCCCCTCCTCCACAACATGCCAATCTAGTTGTGACGCACAGTATGTTAGAATCAGAGCCACGTGGTGTTGTTCAGGGGCCCCAGGTGACTGCTAGCTCCTCACAGCCCCTCAGAGATGACCTCGGGAGCTGAGGGTGGAGTTGTGTGGAGCATAATGAAGCAGCAGGTTGGGAAGGTGTGTGCCTGTGTGCGCACATGCGTGCCAGCTGGGCATCCAGTCAGCTGACTGACCCTAACCTCTCTCCCCATCTGAAGGGCTACCGGCAGAAGGACTATTTCATTGCCACGCAGGGGCCTCTGGCACACACAGTCGAGGACTTCTGGAGGATGGTCTGGGAGTGGAAGTGCCACACGGTGGTGATGCTGACAGAGGTGCAGGAGCGGGAGCAGGTGAGTCTGGATCTGAGTTCAGGGGCTGCCTGCCTACCTAAGTACCGTGCCTCAGCTGCTTGAGGCCTGTGAGCACATGGGTGAGGAAGAGCCAGGCTATTGAGAAAGGACGAAGGTCAAGATGAAAAAGGCTCAAGCCGGGTGTGGTGACTGACACCTAATTCCACCTACTTACTCTGAAGGCAGAGGCAGGAAGAGCTCGAATTTGAGGCCAGCCCAGGTACAAAAAGTTAGTGAGTCCCCCCATCTCAACATAATTGGACATAGTGGTTAATGTCTATAATCCCAGCTATGCAGGAGCAAGAGGAAGGAGGATCACGAGTTTGAAGTCAGCCTGGGAAAAGTTAGCAAGACCCTATCATAAAATAAAATACAAAAAAGAGGGGTGGACAAGGGGTATGACTCAAGTAGTAGAGTTCTTGTCTCAATTGGGCAAGGCCCCGAGTTCAATCCTAGGTACCCCTTGCACCTAAAAGAAAGAGGCTTTACTTCACCCTTTGTTTTTGGTGGCTAACCCTAATTACCCCCGGTCTTTTCACCTGTTTTGAAATTCTGCCGTTTTTATTTGTCAAGATCACAACTTGTTGAACAAAAGGCATTTATGTACTCTTCTCAAGCTGTAAAGAAGGACATTGATACATGCACCTGTTTGATATCATCCTGGCCCAGTCAAATGAGCATTTCCATTTTCCCAGAAATCTACCTGGAGCCTTCTTGTATTGTATTTAATGATGTAACAGAAACTCACAAACCCATGCCCAACAGAAAAACCCAACATTCACAAACATTTTACACATATCTAGATGCTCCCCTAGACGTGAACACTTCCCCGAATTTGTGCTTTGATTTCTTTACTGTAAAAATTACCTTTGTGGCAATATGGCAAGGAATCATCTCTTTAAAGGTATAACTCAGTGGGTCTTAGGTGCTCACAGAGCTTCTAATTCTAGATCATCATCACCCAAAAAGAAACTCCATATCACACACAGTCACCCCATCCCTACCCTCCTGCCCCCAGCCTGAAAACCACTAGTCTAGTGTCTGACCTGGATTTGGCTATCCAGACATTAACACAGGTCTCTGGGTGAATTCTTTCTTAGTATGATGTTTTCAAGGTTCCTCCATGTTGTTGCCTGGGTCAGAACATCATTCTTCCTAGTTGATCGGTAGTATTCCACTGTATGGACTTGCCACTTTTACTCATCCACTCACCAGCAGATGGACACTTATGTTGTTCCCACTTTGGAGCTATATAATAGAAAGATGCTCCCGTGAACATTCATGGACAAGTTTTTGTATGGGCATACTGTTTCAGTTCTTTTGGTTGCATGTCTACGAGTAGAATCACTGACTCATTTCTTGGAAGTACTGAGGTTTGAACTCAGGACCTCATGCTTGTGAGACAGGTGCTCTATCCTTTGAACCACTCCATCAGCCCTTTTTTGTGTTGGGTATTTTCGAAATAGGGTCTCAAGAACTATTTGCCAGGGCTGGCTTTGAACTTTGATCCTCCTGATCTTTGCTCTTCAGTAGCTAGGATTATAGCCGTGAGCCACTGATGCCCAGCTTATCATTTAATATTTTTAAGGAACAGTCAGACTGTTTTCCAAAGTAGCAGCCCTGTTTTACCTTCCCACTAGGAAGTCTAGTGTTCTAATTTCCCCACGTTCTTGCCAACCCTTGTTACTGTCTTTTAGTGGATGTATTCTTCACTTTTCAAAAGTTGTTTTAAACTCAAGTGCATCCATTGCTTGAACTGTTGAGTTCTGCTTGCATTTGAACTTTATGTAAAGAGTACATGACAGTATGTAATCTGTGGGTTGGTTTTTCTGCTCAATCTTGTGTGTTTAATATTTTTCTATGTTGACGTCTTTAACTGATTCATTCATTGTCATATTCATATTGCAGGGTAGGGGTTCGGGGGCCCATGCTGACCCCTCCCACACACAGACAAGTTAGCATGCCAAGCTCCAGGCAGGGGGAGGGGCAGGAAAATTAGCATAGGTTCATTAGCTCCTCTTATTCCTTACCCAGGCCATATATCTCACACCTGTTTACCTATCCCTTCTCTGTCATGGGCTCGGGGCAATTCCCTTTTGTTGTTTTATAAACAGTGCTGTACCTGTTTCATGCTACACAGGACTTAGTATGCACCTAAGAGACAAGTGTCACATTGGAGAGTATGAGAGAGTAGGACTTTGAATAATAATTCCTAGTTGCTGTCCACAGCGGTTCCCCAAGTGCACACCAGTAGAGTGGAAGATAGAGGATCCATTTGCACACTCCATAGCGTGATGTGGTGTGAGTGTCCTGTCTCTGTGGCTTTGAGTCACAGCTCTCTGATTCCTAAGAGGTGGAGCACCACTTCATACCTCTATGGATATATGCAGACTTCCTCTTGTGTAAAATGCCTGTTTTTGCTTTTCATCCATTTTTACTGGGTTGTTTGCCCTTTTCTTATAGATTTATCAGGTGATCATCTATGTAAAGATCTCGATTCTCATCCTGTGTTGATTTCATGTATTGAAAACATCTACCTTTTCACTTTCTTGATGCTTGTTGAATTTTATAATTCACAAAGTGAATTTTAGTGTAAAAATAGAAATTGTGATTTTTTTTTTTTTTTTGCCTCATGGCTGGCTAGTTCTTTTTGTGCCTTAGGTAGTGAGTCCTCTGTATCCCAAAATGAAGGGAAATTTTCTTCTCCTAAGGGTTTCATTGTCTTGTTTTTGGCCCTAAGTCTTAACCCATCTGGGTTTGTTTTTATTAAGGCTCAGAGCTACTGCATACAATACTGCAGTTCATACCCTGGCCAACTCTTGGAGGAGCTAGCGCATTCATGCCAGTCCTATAGGGTGAGAGTCAGGGATCAGTTTCATTTCCCACTCCATTCAGTGACTAATCTGTCCTTTCTTTCATGTATCAAAGTTCCATTTAGCTGTGTCTGATTCTAGACTATTCTCTGCCCTTGGCCAGCAGGCATTAATGGGTATCCACATTAATATTCATGCTTTTTTCTTGGTCAGATGAAAAGCATTAAATGGCTTGAGAGAAATTCTGCATCATAAGGTCAAAAGTGGTAGCATCAAATTATTACAGGACTTAAATTTTTTATTTTATTCCCCAAGGATAAATGCTACCAATATTGGCCAACTGAGGGCTCAGTTACTCATGGAGAAATAACGATTGAAATAAAGAGTGACACCCTTTCCGAAGCCATCAGTGTCCGAGACTTCCTGGTCACCTTCAGTCAGGTATTACTGCTTGTAGTTCTTTTAATACTTGTAGATCTAATGAAGCATGGTCACTCTGGGATCTGCTTGTCATTGTGCCAGAATGGGGCCCTGCCCCTGTCACCTGTCAGGCTCCATCCACCTTTCCTGGGCCCCAGATTATCATGAATGGCTGAAGGGTTGCCCAGTGGCAAGTGTTCTGTAAAGTTCAGACTTCCATGACCACTTGCATCCTTGCTGGAAGAGGAGGCGGAGTAGGCAACAAGCCTCCTGTCTTCCACTCCCACCTGGGAAGAATGACCTTAGTTAGAGGCAGGGTAACAAGGAAATGAATGAATAAGACTGCAGAGGCCTCCTGAGGCCTCTTCCAGAGATTCCTCAGACCCCCAACCATCACCATCCTCACTATGTCCTGGGCTCTGATCGTGCTGCAGAGAACGATCTCTGGACCAGTGAGGGAAGGATGACTCACTAGTGGAACTTGGTTCTCAGCTCTAACGGTCAGTCCAGGAAAATCACACATGCAGAAAGCCTTGTCTCCTTCATGCCAATTACAGACAGAACTACCAAGATGCCAGACTTGCTGCCAGACTTGTCTGCAGTCTCTGATGGGAAACTGGGACCCTGGCTTCTTAGGAAAGATGCATCCTCCTCTGGAGCAAAAGTGCCAGGATTCCTGTAGAGGGCTGGATGGAGCCTGCTTGGGGGACTCCAGGGCATGTCCTCTGTACGTCTTGCTCCCTGGGCAGAAGGAAGAATAGCCAACTGCTGGCCAGGTCCCTCAGACCATCTAGCTGGGGTCATTGGTGGCCACAAAGGCCCAGGGAGGGCTCCAAGCTCCTGTGTGATTTGTAGGAGGGGTCTGGGACCAGGCAGCACTGAGCCCCTTCTCCCACCGCAGCCCTTGGCCCGCCAGGAAGAGCAGGTCCGCATGGTGCGCCAGTTCCACTTCCACGGCTGGCCGGAGATTGGGATTCCGGCTGAGGGCAAAGGCATGATCGATCTCATTGCGGCTGTACAGAAACAGCAGCAGCAGACAGGCAATCACCCCATCACTGTGCACTGCAGGTAAGCGACCCCACTGGGCCAGGGTGCCAGCTCCTGGTGAGGCATTGCAGACCATACAGCTATGGTGGGAGAGCCTGGATGCTCCCAGCAGTGCATTTCCCTGGACTGTGTGTGTTGCCTTCCCTTATGCACGCTGAGACCAGTGCCTTTCTGTAGGTCAAGTAAGTTACTTGTCTTCCTCCTGAAAGACGGTTCTGGCTGCTGCCCCCACACTTCCTGTCCTGTCTCCTGGGCTTGGGAGACATTCAGTGTGGCTGAACCACAGCACAGGTGGTTTTTCAGGGCCTCCTAAAGAGGTTCAGGCTAGGATGTCTAAAGGAGGCCTGTAGCCACACTCACCCCCCTCCCCCCAAAAGCCAGGCCCAAGAGCAGAGGGACACTCCTGGGGCACCCCTAGAAACAGCGAGCACCCAGTGAGGATCATGATGAGTAATATCAGGAGGGGATCTGGGTGAATCTGTCAGATCTGAAAATCCTCCAGCCTCCCTCCCCTGCTGCCGCCTGGCCCTGCCCTGAGCACCTTATTGTGGGACTTTGGCCATCCTTGTGAAGTTCTCCAAGCAGTAGTTTGGGGTGCTTTTGTTTTGGGGTGGCACTAATTTGCTGCTAAAGCTATAATTTTGTTTCGTTTTTATACCTAAGGCTCCCCCTTTTTTGTGACTGCCTTTTGTCACCACCCCTTGTGGCCTAGAGAGCCCCTGTTAACCAAGAGGCCTTGGAACTCTTGTCTGGAAAGCACCTGGGTGCACTCCAACCTGGCCAGTAGGTGGCTCTCCCAACTCGGTCTTCAGCCCCAGAAGCCTTCCCTGAGGTCATTTAGAATGAACTAGAAATGAGTCCCTTCTTGCTGGGCCTCTGCAAATGAAGGCTGTGAGCTGGGCACATGTAGGACGCAGGGATTCCACCCGAGAGAAAGCAGCCATGGAGATGCATCAGGGCAGCACGCCAGGAGCTCCAAAACACGCCCACACTTGCTTGAGATTCTGGGCCCAGAGGAGGGCACCCCTCTGGGAGCATGGTTGCAAGAGGCACCCAACCTACCTCTTTTAGCCTCTCACCTGTGCGCCTCGTTCTGCTCTTGTGAGGTTACATTATCAAGCCAAGGATTGTCTTGAGAGGAGTGGATGTCCTGGCGTTGCTGGAAGTCCAGTGGACCATTCCTGGCCGTGGGTGCCCCGGTTCCACAAGACAGGCCCCTGGCACAGAAAGCTGAGTTTGTGCCAGGACAGCTTGCATTTCTAATGACCCTACTTTGGGAACCACTCAAGGAAGAAGAGGAAGTGCTGAAAAGCCTGTAACTAGTCCTGAGTCTTTTCAGGAAATATCTGGCTGCTGTAATTAGGGGAATGTTTAGGGATTTTATGTTGGCTGGATCTTGCCTCATGTAAGTAAACATTCACCATCCAGTGGCACTCGGGGCCCCAGGGTGGGTCTTGAGGTCCGTAGCTCCTCTCTCCCCACGTTCCCGCTGGCCTACTCACTAGGCACTTTCTCTCTGCAGTGCTGGAGCTGGGCGAACCGGCACGTTCATAGCCCTGAGCAACATTTTGGAACGAGTAAAAGCTGAGGGGCTTTTAGACGTGTTTCAAGCTGTGAAGAGCTTACGACTTCAGAGGCCACACATGGTGCAAACCCTGGTAAGAATCTGAGTGATAAGGATGTTCCAGAGGCTGAGGATCGTTTCATGTGTTTGATGTCTGTTCCATGAAAGGAACTCCAGTGTAAGGAGAGGGTGAGAGGGCTTGATTCCCAGGGCAGAGCCAGCTGCCACTTTTCACAGAAAAGCTTTATAGAGCCCCTTCCTCCTCAGTGGCTGACATGGGTCTGTCCTCTGGGCAGAACTCAAGAGGAAAGGCTCATGCCTAGACCTTTAATTTCATTTAAAAGCACTGTTCTTAGGTTCCAGAGCAATCCTGAAGTTTAAGATCCTGGTGCTTGTTGTTTTCACCTTTACACTATTGCATTTGGTCTGTTTTCCTGGGGTGGGGGAGGTCTTGCTCAATGACAAGACCCTGCCCTGGGGGCATAAGGAACCCACCTAACCTGCATCCGCTCTGCACATTCTCTTTCCTGGCTTTGGGGAGAGATTCCTCCTCACTCAGTTTGGTAATGGCTCCTGGTAAGCCAGCAGTGCAATTTCAGAGACTGTTACAGCCATCAGTTTCCCCCAAGGTTCCTGTTTAGGACATACCCTCCTGGCCTGCTCCTTCTCCACACTGACCCAGTCCTGGTGCAGGCAGCCTGTTCCACATGTATGGAAAGGTGGGAGAGGCTCTCCCACGACCTTCACCAGGGAGCACCTCAGCCAGAGGACTGCCAAGCCCAGGATGGATCCGCCTTCCCGACTGGACAGGCTGGCATCGGGCTCTGCCCTGGCTACACACTACAGTCACCTGGGGAGTGTTCACCTGTCTCCTGCTGCCCAAGTGTCCCCCACACCAATTAAGTGGAAGCTAATCTCTGGGGTGAGTCCCAGTTATCAGTATATTCAAAGCCCCCCAGGTGGTCCCACAGTGAATACAGGTTTGAGAGTCACTGGACTAGAAAGAAATGCGGTGCCTTTTGACTCCTTCCACCTTGTAAGTCTGTCCTACTGGCTGTCACAGTGATAGAACCTGGAAAGCTGACAGCAGTGGGAAGGGGCTGGCTTTGGAGATTGGACCTAGCACTTGACAGCCCCTGCTGGGCCCTGGGAAGGTGCTGGCAAGGGCCAGTCAGGCCTCCTTGAGGTTTGCATGGTCTCCTGATAGCAGCAGGCAACTCACTCACTACCTAAGTTTCTCTGGGCATCACAAACTGAGGGACACCGGGCATGGAGAAAACAGCACACTCCACAGCTTCTAGGTTAACATAATAATAGTGTTGAAATATCACACTGAACTCCATCCTATGTACAACTAATGTGTTAGTTAAAATAATAGTAATGATTATGACAAAGCTTAACAGGAACCCACTCAGAAAGAAATCCGGGGGTTTTTGGAGCGGGGGGCAGTGCTTGTTTGTTTATTCTGTGACACTGGGGCTTGAACTCAGGATTTACACATGTGCTTGCTAGGCAGGTTCTCTACCACTTGAGCCATACCCCCATCCTTTTTTGCTTGTTAATTTTTAGGCAGGGTCTCAACCTTTTACTTGGGGCTAGCTTCAGACAGTGGTTCTCCTACCTACAGCCTCTCAAATAGCTAGGACGTCAGGCGTGTACCCCATGTCCAGTTTGTTGACTGAGGTGAGGTCTCACTCACTTTTTGCCCAGACTTGGTATTATCCATGTGAGCCACTACACCTGGCCAAAATCCAGTTTTTAATTATGAGCCAGATTCTTCTCCGTTTCTTTTCTGTTTTTAGTTCTTTTCTGGGCATCCCTTAGTCCTGCCTGAGCAGCAGTTAAATACAAAAGAAAGACAAGCCAGCAGTGAGGTCCCTTTACCCTTGGCTTCCAGTTGCACTTTCATGGCTCTGTGATCTTGCACATGTTCCTTGTGCCCTCCAGGGCTTCAGTGCCACAGAAAGTGGAGCATGGGGCAGATGGCACTGTCTTCAAGTCATGGTGCCAGGTTTGCTTTCATCCTACAAGAGCCTGGCCCAAGGGAGGTGCCCAGCAAAGAAGCAGCAGCAACACTGTCCTGGATTTGGGGACTGACAGCTCTCGTTGATTTGCCTGGCCTAGTCAGTGGATTCTGTTTGTAAGAGCACCAGTGTCCAGGTGCCCTTCTGTCCAGCTCTACTGCCTCACTGGGCAGCTGCCCCTGGATATCTCCTGGCTCTCGTCTGCACGCTCTTGCCAAGTGACAGGTTGACAGCATTTTATCACCTTACTTTTCAACTTAGCCTCTAGCCCCACTCCCAGGACATAGTAAGTGGTGAATTAGTCAAAAAATGAGGGACAAATGAGTACTCAAGTAATGACTGCCAGTTGCTGGATGGTCACCTTTCTTATCACGTCCGCACCATCTCCTTGACCTCTTCGGCTCCCAGAGTGTTATGGTGCTGCCACCATTCAAGGTGGCTGAGCAGATCGTCCAAGTTCTTAAGGTTTTGTCACAAAAAGATTCAAGTGCAATCTGTCTGTCTCTGGAGGTGAAGGGTGTAACTACCGCTCTGCCCTGCAGACCTAAGATTTGGCAAAGAACACGGAAGAGATCCTTGCTGTGCTGACTTAGCTCTGTGGATAGGTATGGTTGCTCACAAGCCAGTTGCTAACTATGATCACTCACAAAAGACATGGTTCCAACACCCTCGACAGCCATTAGTGGCTGTGGCCAAGGCTATATATAAGGGCGTTTGTTCTCCTGTGACCTGTGATGTAGCCAGTATCATCCCAACACCTCACTGATCACTGGCCACCAGTGACATGAACTCAAGACACAATGTGGATGGTCAGCAGTCAGCATGTTTGCTGTGAAAACGGTGACTAGTGGCTGTCTCCATTTCCCTCCCAGACCGAAGCAGCTTTCATATTTCACTGATGTAGAAAAAAGTGGCAAAAGTCAGGTCAAAAGCCACCTGCAACGCTTGGAGTGTTGTGAAAACGCTTGCCTCTTTATAAAGAGCCTGTCCATTCATTGAGCCTGCTTTTGAAAATTCACTTTCCTTTTCCTTTCAAGGGCTAGGGAGCAGGTGGGAATCTTAGTAACCAGACATGAGGACCTCTATGATCGGTTCTCGGCTCTCTCAATAACTTCCTGCAATGTCAGGCCCAAAACTGATGGTCCAGCTTTTCTTTCTGGAACATGGAGGGCCACCCCATCTTGAGACTGAGACTTGAGGAAGGGCTGAGCTGGCGACTGTTCCACCCAAAGCCTTTTGACATTTGTTTGAAGAGGCTGAATCCAGGGAATGGAGAAAGAAAAGGGGAGTGGTCTGAAAATGGCTCCTGTCCTCCAAAACTTCCTGAGCTCTTCTCGGCCAGTCTAAGGTCACTTGTCCCACTCCATGCTGCAAGCAGCCAGACCCTTTATCGTGACAGGCATTTGAGCTGCCATCTGTGGTTACTGGAACCTTTGGGGTCCCCTCCCCTTCTCCTTGACTGCTATGCCCACATGGTGGTGCAAAGACTACCGTAGGCTCCCAGGAAAAACTGGACAATGAACATTTTCTCCACCTCCACCTCCACCTTTCTCCCTGCTGCGTGCTGAGTGTTGAGGGGCGGCTCCAGCCACACCTGTTGGACCCCCATTCACCAACCACTCTCCTCAAGCTGCCAGGAAGAAAGTCAAAGAATGTGCAGAAGTGTTACAGTAACAGAAAGGCACTTATTCTTTTGGATGTTGGCAAAACTTATAAAATCATGTCCCTGTGCTACAGTATTTTTAGGCTTAAAAATAATTTAGATTTTTATTTTTTACCATTTATAAGTTATTTACCATTTATAAGTTTTTACCATTTATAAGTTATTCTTGTTAACTATGGACTTTATCTGACAGTGCTGGTACTCTGATTTTTTTTCAGCTTTTCCAATTTCAGCATGAAAACCAGACATTTTACTCAGGCTGTTCTAAAATACACTAACATTTTTCCTATATAGGAAATTTTCACTGGCCTTAAAACTAAGCTGTGTAACAGAAGCTTGCGTGCATGAGGACAAACGGTACACGAACTGGTAGACTTGTTGATATTTCAGATTTTAATATTTCTTCTGATTAAGTTAATCACATTTTTTGAAGCACCATTTTAATGCATTCTTATTTTTCTTTTCAGGAACAGTATGAATTCTGCTACAAAGTGGTACAAGATTTTATTGATATATTTTCTGACTATGCTAATTTCAAATGAAGACTCCTGCCTTAAAATATTTTTTAATTTAATGGTCAGTATATTTTGTAAAAATCGTGTTAATTTATTTCATAGTGAACATTAATATTCTTCCTAATTTCTTTGTATATATTTTGTTATGTTTTAAAGGCTATCTGCTCTAGAGTCATTAAACCTTAAATACCCCTTTTAAATTGGAGTAATGTATTAAGGCCCCACAAGATCTATATTTCTGCTAATATCAGTAAGTAATTCTTCATTAGATTCATGTCGTGTAATGTCACACGTTGCACATCTATACATATCATAATTCTTAATATGCCAGGTGTGCTTATGCAAGACACTAAACAAAGTCCCTTGTTAAGAAAACAGTTGAGGACCCAGAAATCAGCTCAAAATTTGCTTTCCAATCATTAATTTTTATAACCCTGAAAAGCACCTTTTTGTTTTCTTTGGTTTTTTTTTTTTTGCGGGGCGGGGGTGTGAGGAAGCATTGTAAGCAAGGACTTTTGTAAAGTCCTTGTGCCTCAAGTTTTAAAGATCAAAGAAGACTTTTCAACCTGATTCCAGGTCTGGATGAGAAGAGAGATGTCTAGATACCAGGTCGTCCCACTCACCCAGGCCTCAGGCACAGAAAAGCCAGCTATAGGACTGTGCTCCTGCAGTGTCACTTGCTGTCCATCTGTCTGTCAGACTCAGAACCTAGCCAAATGCATTTCTTAGTACTCCTCCCATGGGGCCCCAGCTGCCAGTACTGGCCTTGAGCTAGGCCTGCAGGCTCAGTGCAAAACCATCTTCCGTCCAAACCTTTAAGTGAAGTGTCTTCCGCACACAGAGTCCAGGAGCACATATTTGGGTAGAAACAGTACAATCAAGTTGTAAATTTTCTGAGATGAATTTTGGTATTTAAAATTTTCTCGTAAAAAGCTAAGATTGTAAGAAAAGAAATCTTAAATTCTAGATTTGTACAATTTTTAAATGCCCCACTCCTCAATGTTTAATAAAAAGAAAAGAAAAAGAAATCACGAAAGTCTAACTTATTTTTGGATGGAGATATTGCTGAGACGCTGGTTAATGATAATGATCCCACTGCCAGATAGGATGGCTTAGGGGCAAAAAAAAAAAAAATGGTGGGAGGATGAATGCAGGAATGTTTAATTCAATAACAGTTATCTTTCTACGGCTGTTAGGTGCCTAGCAGATGAGCACAATACAAAAAAGAAGACTGATCTAACTTCCAAAAGACTTTGAACATGTGCGATTTTGGTACTTCTCTTCTTTTTAAAAGAAATAGAAAAATATAAAGGCCTTACTTACCATTTTCGCTGGGAACTGACCTCACCCACCTATTGCACTATTCATCCCCATTCATTTGTAGTGTGTGCAGGTGTGACCCCAGGGTCAAGTACCGCCCTCACCAGGCACACAAGGTCATCAAGCTTCTCTCCCACCCCACTGCGGAGTCCCATCCAGCAGCAGGAGCTGGCACCCAGCTGGAAGGATGGAAACACACTTGGCAGGTGCCACCATCACCACCAGCTACACCCTGGACCTCCTGCTTCTGAATGTGTCTCTCCCTTCTCTGTACAGCAAGTGAGCATTTAGGTAGAAGATGAAAATGAAAGGAGCTTCTGGCAACTTGCCTTTTGATCCCATTTGTTTCCATGTTAAAATCCCAAACCTAAAACCTTTCTTTGACTGAAGCAGAAGAGAAGTTAAGCTTCCATTCAGCACTTGAAGTCCATTGGGATGAAGGTGACCTTAGGCTGGTAATTTGTTTAGAATTCAAGTCAAAGTCAGGGCATGGATTTTGGTCCCAGTTTCAGAGCTGGTAGTCAGAATCCTTGAAGCCCTTAAGGGTATGCCTGGCATCTCTTGTATCAAGAAGTGCCTTTAGGGTAGAACTTTTCAGGGTGTTCTCAGGAAAGTGCTCCATTTGTATGATTTTCCTGCCCTCGGGGCAGTCCCAGGTACCCACAGCAGGGGTTCTGCCTGTGCCTAAACTAAACTCATCCCATTCCAGAGACAAACAGAAGTCACCCTTCTGTGGACATGGGGCCCCTCCCAAGTTGAGGCAGCACCTCTCCTTCAGGGGAGAGGTCCCTCCCTCCCACCTCATGGCCTCTGCCAAGGTCAAGTTCAAACAGTCCTCTTGGGCCTCAGAGCAGGTGCCTGCAGAGGGAATAATAACTGGGGACCTTGGCACGTTCGTTCGTCTCTTCTAACCTCGGTCAAAGAAAGTCCAGTGTATGTAACTAAGCAACCCTGCGCCGCACCCCGTCTCCTCTCACCGTCTGTTTTGCATGCTGTTGCATTTCAACGCCAAATAGCGATCAGAAGCAGACCACTCTGATCGACGCCTCCCTTGGTCACTGTGTGACTTGACTTTACTTTCTCTCCATGTGCTAGACAAATGAAGAATGCACACTGTGTTTTCAAAGGTATTTTTATGTGTTTTTAAACACTTTTTAAAATGAGCCTGACACCTGTGTTTCAGCATTTGGAGACATGCCCATCTTTTTTTTAAATCTTTGTTTACTGAGGTATTTTCGTTTGTTTAACTAAGCTGTGTTTAATTTATGTGCAGTCTTTATAATACATGTATGTATTACGGTTCCAACTTCCTATTTTCCTTTATTCCTTTTATTATAATTTGATCTTGCTCTGAGTATAATGCCAGTGAATGTTGCTGAATTCTTCGTATATGCAAATTGCAGGATCTAAAACATTCTGATGCAAGAGTAAACCTTCACTTTGACTACCAGCCTGAGTCTCTTTCTTCACATTTCACAATTGCAATCCTCTGCCTTAAGACCTTTTAGATAAGACATGCATTAGTGGACTGGGGGTGCAGCTCAGTGGAAGAACACTTGCTTAGTGTACATGAGGCTCCTGGATTGGAAGCCCAGCACCAAAGACATGCATTAGGAGGTGAGAACTGCTTTATGCAGGTAACTTAGTCATGGATTTTCAAAATTTAGCTCCCACCTGGCACAGAAACAGTCCCTAAGGGTGAGTGGGCCATGGGCCCACCCAGCTTTCAGCCAGTCTGGAGAAGGCAGATGTCAGACAGACTCTGCTTTGGAGTGATGACTCGTCCTTGAGGGAACCCATGTTCCTCTGGAGCCCAAGTGGCACTCTGAGTTTGGGCAATGGTGGCCCAGGAGGAAGATGGCCCATATACTTTGATGTCCACAGCCAGGTAGAATCAGAAGGTCCATCCAACAATGCTTTTCTCCCCAAATCCAAAGCCCTATCAGGCCTCCCTTGCCAGACTTCCTCCTGTGCACATCTTTATGACTCTGGTGATCCCCAGATCTCTTCACCCGCCTCCCTTCTGCCTTTCCTCCCAGTCCAACATAGAATTTAAATAGAGTTTTATTATTTGTTGTGTTTATTTAATAAACTAAATGGTCCATGGTATATTTGTTTAATGGATGTTTGAAAACCTTTTACTTGCCTCTCAAAAAAAAAAACAACACATTTCTATGGAATGACACTTGCTGTTGTGGGCTACTTGGTTACTGCTTCTCTTCATGGGTCTTGGGTCCCAATGTCCCTTCCCAGATGAGCTGCACCTCATTCTGCCCTGATGTGGTTGAGGCTTTTCCTCTGGGGTAAGTAGAACTGGACACTGACTGGTCATCCATTAAGGGAGGTTGGCCCAAACAGTGTTGTCAAGCCACCACCTTGGAAGGCTCTGAGCACCTGTGAATCACTGGGTCAGCCCCATCTGTTGGACTCACACAGATGGGAGGCGGTGGACTGAGGGTCTCAGGATAAACAGGCAAGAGAGGGATGACATGACTGCTCTACAGAAGGCTGGGGGGTGCATCTCCAGCCACTGGAAGACTCCTGGGGAAGGAAGCAAGGTCTTCCTTCTATGGGGCCCAAGCCCCATAGTTGAGACAAGCCTGGAAGCCGAATGAGTACCCGGAACCACCAGTCAGAATGTTCTGTTATAGGGTAAATTGTGTCCCCCTTAAATTTGTGTGAAGTCCTAACCCTAGAACCTCAGATTGTGACTATATTTGGAGATAATGAGCTATCGATGTTGACGTACGATGAGGTCATGCTGGAGGAAAGTGGGTCCTAATCCCAGATGACCAGAGGAGAGGGAAATTGAACACAGAGATGCACCAAGAGAAAGTCTCTGTGCAGATGAAGGCAGAAGGTGGGGTGGTGCTCCACAAACCAAGGAACGCCGAGGCTGCCAGGAGCCAGAGCCCAGGCACAGAACAGATTCCCCTTCATAGCCCTTCAGAGAACAGCTCTGCCTACACCTTGATTTTGAACTTCTGGCCTCCAGAACTGTAAAAGAATAAGATTTAAGCTACCCAGCCTGTGCCACTTTGTTACGACAGCCCTGACAATGAGACCCTCACTGCCTGCTGTGACCCCCACTGCCTAAGTTCCCAGTCTTAGTTTGAGTTTATTCAAAAGGACAGCCTGGAATAAGGATGTGGGTGAGAGTAGTTTAACTGAGAGCAGATCCCAGGAGGCAGGAGTGAAATGACAAGGGGCCACTCAGAGGGGTGTGATTGAGACTACTGCTGGGGTGACCCTGCAGAGACACCCAAGGGTCCCCCAAACCATCTGCATGAAGCACAGGATGCTGGAGCTCTGACATAAACAGCTCCTGTCCCAACCCGTCCCCTGGGCTGAGCATCCCGTCCCCCAGTCCAAGTCTCCCTATATTGCTGTATTGTCTCCAGGGATTGCCAGCCCTATGTGTTCTGGGCTTGCTTCTGGGCCTAGGGCTGCTGAAACCTGAGGAGGACCCAGGGATGTGGGAGCGCTGCAGTCGCCAGGCTCCCAAGCTTGGCCTCTGCTTTCACACTGGGCATGCAGCTGTGTCACTGGGGAGTAACATGGGCCCCAAGGTGTCCTCAGACTATCTGCTGGAATGGGGGGGGCGGGAGCAGCTTCAGGGCTCTGGACAGTATGCCCCAGCCCTAGAGGGAACCAGTGGCTCACCTGCCACCTCTACATCCACGGTCCACCAGCTTGTTGCCTCTCAGCCCAGGTTCCAACAGAACCAGCCGTGCCTGCCCTCAAAGGATGGGCAACACCAACAATCTAGGAGACATGTTTGTTTTATAAGTCCAAGCCAACCAGAAATATACATAGTATACACCGTATATGAGCTTGGTCCTGTGCCCAACTCCTCCCCCCTCAGTCCATTGGTAACTTTGGCGCACATCTCCAAACACAGGACTCCCTGCAGATTTACACTTGTGTGTTTACTAAGACACATGCAGTTTGTTTCTGTTCTATGCTTGTAAGAACAAGACACTCAAAGTCCTGGTGTATCAACAAACCCAGGATTACAGTTGTCAAGTGCACTTTGTGCTCTGCAAAGAAGCAAAAGCATTGCCAGTTCAAGGAATTCTGCGTTTCCTCCTGTGGTTTGCATCCAAGGATTGACTAAATGCTGCCTAGGGGCAGTTGTGAGGTCTGCGCTCTTGGTTCAACC